CTTTCTAATTGAAATTTTTTATCTATCTTTGTTTCTTGAAAAGTTAGTTCTTTAAACATATTTAATTAAACAATATTTGAGAACACAAAAGATAATCTAACTAACTCCAGGCAACGGTCGGTGAGCAACATGCGTTTGGTCACGATTACGTGTTCTGGAGTATTTTAAACTCTGGCTAAGACTTACGTGAGACACCCTATATATATATATATATATATATATATATATATATATAGATATATATATATATGAAGAAGTTTTTCCAAAGGGACAAACGTACTTGGAAAGAGAAGAGACACAACTTAGTGGTTGCCTTATTTTATTCCAATAGTTTCAACTGGTGGACCGAACTTTGTAAGGGTTTGCGAACAATCAACAATTCCTGACGAAGTCTGGTTCCCCAGTCGAAATCATTAAGTAACCGCTTAGTAGTGTCTTTTCTCTTGCGATATATATATAAATATTAATATATTATATATATATATAATGCAGTAATGTTGTGGTGCCACCTACTTTGGCTCGAGCTTCCCGCGCTGCTTCTGCTTCAGCGGCCATGGCCCTCTGTAGTTGCACTGGCAGTCGCACGTCTTTGCTGCAAAGCGTGATCGGAAGGCAAAAGTGTTTACAATGTTGGGTGTAGTTCTCTGTTGTCATCATATTATATATTTTATATATGTGATCTAACCCTCCTGCGCTCCGTATTGTGTTTGTAGTGTTGTTCCACTTCCAGTGGTTGCGTTCGATATTTGCGAGGTGTTATGAGCAGTCCCCCTGTATCGGAAATCAGTTCAGTGAAACCCCGAAAGGTGGCGGAAGGAATAAGAAAAAGAAAATCGACAAGCATGCATTTGTAGCACAAAGCCACAAAAGCATACAAACGAATTTCTCAAAAAGAAAGCTTCTAAATAAAACAAGCTTTATTTTGGGGAAATCCAGTCAGATTTGCTTTTGACATCGTGCTAGGAACGGCTGGTTGTCGATTTCCCATTCTTAGTCCTCCGGTAAGCATGGCTTACACGCTCAAACAGGGTATTACATTCTTAGCGGGGCACAAAACATTTTGGCCTACCATAGAAGCTTTGTTCTCTGTCGAGCAGATCATTGATGCACAAGTCAATAATTGCAATGTTCAGTTAAACAGGGCACTATTGACAAGAAGAGATTGAATCATAGGCGGTCAAAACTACGCTGATGTACAGGCCCTGCTAGGCCAGAAAACATGCATAAGAAACGTTTTATAGCGAATCCTAAGAGATTATCGCTAACCTATGAAGACGAGACAAGACAAAAAGACACCCACACAGGCACCTATGCGTATCGATCTCTCTTCATCATACACCGTGTTCGTCAGTATCTGCGCTAAACTCTTAGGTAATGTCCTAACCACACGGGCAGAAGTCAGCACTTGTTATATAGCAACTCCTCAATGGCGATTTAGATAGCTGATCACCTGCTTTTATTAGCATATGATGATTTCATTATTTCTACAAATAATACTGAGAGTCTCAACAGTCTGGAAACAAGCTGGCGTGTCATATGAACAGGACAATTTACCAGGTCTCCAAGGAAACGTTTCAGTCAAGTTCAGGCTAGAATGGATATCGCTCCGAACTAGATGATATTCTTGAAAATTTATTACATATCTCTTTCATAGCCACTAACGTTCCGATAAATAAAACCCTCATTATTGAGCACGTCAGGAGTTCGAAACAAGTAATATAAAGAAAGAGAAGGAGGTTAATGCATTTGCGTAAGTTGGATGTCTGAACGCGTGTGCTTTGAAACTGCACGAGAAGTACAAAAAAAAAACATTCCCAATGCTTGCTAAAGTGAATTGTACACAAAGAACACAATATAAACCCAACTTTTCAAATGAATGACAAACCCTCAAAATTATTTACCTCTATTTGAAAAAAAAACTATGCAAAATATGCAAAAAAGATTGTCTGCCATTCTGCTCTGTGAATGTGGATTACCAGCAAAGCCGTTTAGAGCTCACGGCGCAGAGATGGCACATATCCAATTTTGGGCGCTTCTCATGACGCCCAGAAAAAATAGATGGAAACCTAGTTTTATATAACCTCACTGTAAGCGCTGTTCTTGATCCGTAAACAAAAGCTATAACAAGGAATTTCCTTAAGCGCTGTACGTACATTTCAACTCTTTCCACTTTCACACCCCAGGGGTCGGTAGCCTCGTCTAAGCTGGCCTGAAAGATGGAGCAGCAAAAGAGAAGCCGTTATTTTCGCGGGTACTTGTCGTCTGCGTGATGGCGTCACCACGAAAGGACGCTCACCTGCATAACGTGAGAAATGGACTCCCTCTCGGAAAGGATCTCCGACAGGTTCTTGGTGCCGAGCACGTTCCGGAGCGTGGTCGCGGCCAGGAGTCGGGTCGAATGTCCGTAGTCCTCCACGTTGGAAACGGCGATGGTGGCGTTACTGATGCGGTAGTACACCACGGCATCCACCGCTACTGTCACCGAGTCCTTGGATAGGATCTGCATGAACAGGAGATCAGAATGCATTGAACCTCCCCATCTTTTGGAGAACGTATCGCGGCAATAAAAAAAAGCAGCGTCGTCCGCACTATAAAGTCCATGTATGCTTATCCATAATTTCAAATGACACAATGGCGTTGTTCGTAACTCATAGTGTAGATTATTTACTCTAGCACATGGGCCACGGAAGGATAAGAGACGGCACATGTGTCCTTCTTGCATAATGTGAAGTCACAGTCAAAAGTTAAGAGACAACGAAACACAAGAAAAAGCTTAACACCTCTCTGCTTCGGGACACAGCGTTGTATTTAAATTTGCCGCTTGTTCTAAAAACGCGCTAACAGCATTTACTGTGCAGTGGGACCTAATACCGAAAATAGCGCAGGTAAATTAAATATTGTTTCAAAACTACTGGTTTCTAAACTTCTGTAACTAGCTGTACTCTCTGTCCCTGCAAGATTGTGCAAGGTTTGGGCGTCAAATGCACTTCTAACGCAAGAATCTTTTATGCCGGGTTCCATCAAGACATCAGTGACGTATTCGATCACGCCACGTAAATGACGTGTAAAATTGTAGACGATCAGATGGCAAAGAGGAAAAAAATTCCTTCAATGAGAGTCAAACTCACGATACCCGGCTGCGAGCACAGCAGCCGGGTATGCTATAGCCACTGCGCCATGGTCTCGTACTCTGAAAGCTATACAAATCCAACACCGTCTTCACACAACACTCCTGGTCGGCGGGGTGGCGAGGCATCATGACCACGAACTCCCCAATTAGCTACTTCAAAGTGTCATTACTACGCGTCTGTACCATTCGGCGCGTTTTCAATAGAAAAAGAGCTATTTTGTCGACGCCCTAACAAACCGCCAGACGTCGACGCCTTATTAACAAACTGCCCAGCGTCCGCCTGTTACGATCATCCATCGATTCCAAAAATAGCCATGCCATAGCATGGCTATAGCACCGTCATACTCAACTATAAAAATGGTCCAGTATAAGCACCATGTTCGCAGCTTAGGCTCGTCCCGAGAAGAATATCGCGGCTGGCCAGCAGGGGCGACATGACGCGCGCTGCGTTTCCCTCCAGTTGGGCCGTTGCGTTTCATAACATGCCGCGAGTAGGCGACCTCATAGCCTAAGTTCTGCGGACAACAGCGATGCTCTTCTGGCTGCCACATCGCTTTCTCTGATTTTGTTCTCACCATTAACTGCTACAGCTAGCACAATGGTCTGTTTATTCATTGAGCACGAACGTTTGTCGTCGTTTGACGAGCGTTAACATGTCCCAATTCACATTAAAGGGTTCTATAGCTGTCAAACATCAAAATACATTGTACGAACTACCTTATAGTATCAACGTTCAGTAAGTATTTCACTACTTTTGTAAGGAGACATTCTATTTTCGTACAATACTGATTTCTATGACGAAGTGGTCAAGCATGTTTTTTTATCCCTCCTCCTGTAAACATCCTTACGTTGTACATATCCGCGTGATTTGTTTCCTTATCACTCACTCACTCGCTCACTCACTGACGAAATAAATAAATAAAGAAATAAATAAATAAATAAGTAAAGTGGTAAGTAAAAATAGAAAATAATCAAATCTGTCGAGTTCATTGCAGTCCGTAGTGGAGGGCTTCAGATAATTTCGACCCCTCGTGAACGTGAAGTACACGGGCCTCCAGCATTTAACCTGCATCGAATTGCGAGTGACACGGCCGGGATTGAAGACTGTGTATTTGCAATTAGCACTCGAACACCGAAAGCACTGCGCCACTGCGACGGCTGCTACCATATTCCATTTGCGACGCATTTGTATGATTGTAAATTTGAATGTGCAAGCATGTACACCGTTATGCACTTATGTCAGAGTAATTTAACGCCTACGTAATCGGGACACAACGTTAAGTGCAACAAAGCACCTTGCTGATGCATTTACTAAGTGCTACAAAGGACTGAGGTACAAAAAAATTCTAAGGTGCTTAAAGTTGCCTAAACATTAGCGATAACAATCGCAAAAAGATTGTGGGCTAGAGTTGTTTTGCAAAAGAAAATTTGAGCCAGTGGTAATATTTTACAATATATTAACTAATGCGACCAGCCAATAAAAAACACCACGTGCAAAAAAAATCTGCCAATTCGGACGAAGAAATTTTCTTACGGAACATTGTTTCTTGAAAGAATAACATTGCCATCCACCATTCGCAGGACGAAGCTACAAGGAAGAGGGTAGATGAAGAGGAATTCCATTTATGAATCTTGCGCCACGTGGCGGGGTTACGCAGAAGTCATCTGCCATCACATATTTACTTGAACCAGGACGAATACAAGCTTTGCGTTACTTGCTATCTTGGAATGACAACATTTGCCAGTAGTGCTTTTTACGGATGTTAAACTTGTGCACTCAAAAAATACAGGAGCCTCATTGTTCACCTTCATGAACAATACTAAAAACCTTTCAAAAAAAGCCAGCAGCGTTTTCTGGTAACTGTATAAAGTTTTAGAACATAAATGCGATGTTAAGCAGGGGCTATAGGTGGTCGTAGGGGTATAGCAGGCGGTGTTAGCCTGAAATATATAGCCAACAATTGTTCAACCTCAGCCCCTCAAGCATTTGTAGTAGCGGTGTGTTGCCAGGTATTAGAAAGCCTCGTGTCTTGCCGGAATGCAAACAGCAGTCGAAGCATTCTCCTCCCAGATGCCGTGGGGCTGCCGAAAAAAACGAAGTCTTCATATGTCCGATGTCGAAGGATGCGGCTTTTCAGGTTGCGGAGCATCGCTTTTCATTTGTTATGGAATAGCAGGCACAGCTAAATAAAAAGTTCGTTATTTCTTATATGACTGCAAAAATAGCAGAGTGGAGAATTGCATCTACCAGTCCTGAATTGAAAAGCCGGGGTGTTACAAATAAAGCCGTAGTCAGTCCTAAACAGCGTAGATTCTGTGCAAGCAAGCCTGCGGATCCCACGGGCTTCATGTGGAGTCTTGTGGATCGCCCTAAAGTGATTGCGTGTTACATCCCTGGAGTTCTGATGACCCTTTGAGTTCCCACATTCATTATACCCGCCCGTGCTTGTAATGCAAGATTACGACTTTTTTCCCTTAAAATTCAACGTGAGATGATATCCACTTAAAGTTCACATAAAATCTATTGCACAGAAGAATCTTAATCATAGGTTACCTTGTAAATATTTCCCGTGGTAGCCTACGATGTACTCATTAAAACATTGACGTTCACTACGTCCTATAGGAGCAAGCGATAATATCGTGTGAAGTGGGAAACAGCCCGAAGAAAAATTAAGAAGTCGAGTGCCCAAGCGAACCCCATATTTATATATTATTTATTCCTCGCTGTATTCTTGAGTCAAGTGAGGAGTACCAGATGTGAGTAATGTATTCTGCGTCCTGATTTAAACACCAGAATCAAAAGGATGCTTGGATAAGCTTGGATAGTTTACAAGGTTCAACATTCCCAGGGGAACTCAGGCTACTAGAGACGCCATGGTGTAGGGCTACATTTCGACCACCTGAGATATTTAACGTGCGCTGACATCGCACAGTGCCAGATCCCATAGGATTTCGCTTTCGTCGCAATACGAGCCCCGCCGTCTGCATCAAGACCATGTGTTAATTCATTGATTGATTGATATGTAGGATTTAGCGTCCCAAAACCACCACATGATTATGAGAGATGCCGTAGTGGAGGGCTCCGGAAATTTCGACCACCTTGGGTTCTTTAAGATGCACCCAAATCTGAGCACATGGGCCTACAACATTTCCGCTTCCATCAGAAATGCAGCCCCCGCAGCCGGGATTCGATCCCGCGACCTGCGGATCAGCAGCCGAGTACCTTAGCCACTAGACCACCGTGGCGGGGCATCGAGACCATGTCTTTCGAGTTAGCAACCGATTAGCGTAGCAACTGAGCCTCCACGACGGTTTGCTTGAATGGCCTAACCAGCCATTGTGATGTCGTGCAAAGTTCAAACAGTTATTACAGCAAAGTTGATCGCTGTCAACTGTCAGTCTCAATTGGAATTTCGCACCTGTGACTCAACAACACGGCACAGGTGCTGTGAAAACTCACCAAGCGTCTAACGCGCTGGCTTGTATACAAAGGAAATTCTTCATGAAACAATCAGCCATCAGCGGAATATCACTGCAATGCGTGCGTGCTTTTATTGTATGATATGCGTAACATTATTCAGGTGCTCAAGGTACGCTTACGACGACGCAGGCGCCTTTCGCGTTGGGACAGTACGGTCTAACGTTACCACCGTATACATATCGTGGGCCTTCTGTACGGCCTGTGCTTGATATGAAAGAGCTACATTGTGGAAGGCGTACTCTTTGCCACCAGTCTCTTTCCTTGTCCCAGTCTGTTAAAGCCACAGGACAGTGTTAAAGCATACGGTCCACAGCAATGATGCCATTATACTTCCTGTGAATGATTCGGCCTTATCTACATGTATGGATACATCTTTTAATAAAGTTTGAATTTGGGTAATTTATATGATTTCTTACTTTATTGAATGTAAGCCATCGGTCCCTGTTCTCCTCCTGCATGTTATTGGGATCCTGGACGTGTAGTGCACGGATAGAAAGCCCTCGATCAGCTGGTTTTTAAGCTCGTCCAAGATGGCTCGAGACCTCATTTGTGCACAAAACCAGCGGATTTCGCTGCCAATCTCACCAATAAGCTGGGCTGCCCTGTTGGTTACAAAGTCTTTAGTAAAGTGTTTTTTACCATCTTGGAGTTCCTGTAAATTCGTGTCCACTTATTATTTCTTAAAGCCTGTTGCCACTTGTTACGCGACTGTCGCCTATTCAGAAATGATTGTAATATCATCCAAAGTGAGTCCATCGGCATCTACTACTACTGCCGTGAAGGTTTTCTTTCCTCTATTCCATGCAGCATCTACAAAAGCCGCATGCTCGGTTTTCTGCAGCATAGCTTTGACCCTTGCCTTTCTTCTCTCCTTGTTGTGAACCGGGTG